GGGAAGCAGCAGAGCGGACCGAAATCTGAGAGAGCCCAGAACAAGTACCATTGCTCCCTCTCTGACTCTGCCCCCACATAAAGCATTACAACCCAGCCACCTGGGTTGCCCGACCCTGGCAAACACCTAAGTCTCCGCCCCTCATATGTAACATGTGAAAACAGACCAAAACATTATGGCTCAAGAAGAAGAACAGCTCAAAGCTCCGGAGTACATCTAAGCGACCAAGAGATAGCCAACCTATCAGATGCACAGTTCAAAGCACTGGTGATCAGGATGCTCACAGAATTGGTTGAATTTGGTCACAAAGTAGATGAAAAAATGAAGGCTATACTAGATGAAATGAAGGAAAATGCATAGGGAACCAATAGTGATGGGAATAAAACTGGGACTCAAATCAATGGAGTGGACCAGAAGGAAGAAATGACCAAAAAGAAAAGAATGAAGAAACAAGAATTCAAAAAAATGAGGAGAGGCTTAGGAACCTCCAGGACATCTTTAAACACTCCAACCTCCGAATTATAGGGGTACCAGAAGGGGAAGAGGAACAGCCATGAGTGGGAAACTTATTTGAACAAATAATAAAGGAGAACTTCCCCAATTTGGCAAAGGAAATAGAATTCCAGGAAGTCAAGGAAGCTTGGAGAGTCCCAAAGAAGTTGGACCCAAGGAGGAACACACCAAGGCACACCATAATTACATTACCCAAGATTAAAATGAAGGAGAGCATTCTAGCAGCAGCAATAGATAAGGGGACAGTCACCTACAAAGGAGTTCCCATCAGATTGTCAGTTGATTTCTCAAAAGAGACCTTACAGGCAAGAAGGGGCTGAAAAGAAGTATTCCAAGCCATGAAAGGCAAGGACCTGCATCCAAGATTAATCTATCCAGCAAAGCTTTCATTTAGAATGGAAGGGCAGATAAAGCACTTCTCAGATAAGGTCAAGTTTAAGGAGTTCATCATCACCAAGCCCTTATTATATGAAATGTTAAAGGGACTTATCTAAGAAAAATATGAACAGTAAAAAGACAGCAAACTCACAGTTATTAACAACCACACCTAAAACAAAAGCAAACTAAGCAAACAACTAGAACAGGAACAGAACCACAAAAATGGAGATCATACAGAGGGTTAGCAACTGGGGAGTGGGAGGAGGAGAGATTGGGGGGGAACAGTACAGAGAATAAGTAGCATAGACGGTAGGTAGAAAATAGACAGGGGGAAGGCAAGAATAGTACAGGAAATGTAAAAGCTAAAGAACTTATGACACATGGACATGGACTAAAGGGGGGGATGTGGATGGGAGGAGGTGTGCAAGGTGGAGGGGAATGAAGGGGGGGAAATGGGACGGACAACTGTAATAGCATAATCAATAAAATATATTTTTTAAAAAACCAGGTAAAATGGAGGAAAGAGGCCACACTAGGAGGGGGTGTGTGAGGTAACAGGCTGCTGTTTAATCAACTTTCACACATTTCCCGATCTGAAAGACTCACGGTCTCATAGAAATATTTCCTCAAATTTGGAGGTTAAAAAAATCGAGCAGTGTAGAAGATCTCTGCCTCCAACAGAGTCCTTTGAATTAAGAATCCAATATTTAACAAAGACTTCAGGGTTGAATAAATGAGGTTTCAGGAGACCATACTTCCTCTGATTCCACTTCTAAACTGAAGATGGTTTGTTGGCAATTCCACTTATCTGCAAGCTTCACAAATTATTATACCACAAAATCTTATGTTAAAGTCCCTTCTATTCTCAAAACCTTCAAATACACTTTAAATACTAGAAACTGATGTCATCTTAGCATCATCTGCTAGTTTCTGCAACAAAGTGCTTCTAAATCAGATCTCTGCATCACAGTAAATGCAGAAGAGCTCTCTTGTTTTTACTGAACTTCAAACCCACAGGACTGCATTAGTTACAACAGCACGTTCATCATTCATCCTCACATGTATGGCCTGCTTTTAACTAATTACTACAGTGCCACAAGCATCAGTGACAAGAACCTACATGCAATCTATGTGAACCGCCCCCTCCTCCCCACCCTCATCCCATTCCAGTGATTTCCCCTGGCCCAGGGTGAGCAGCAACCTGAAACCCATTCACATGAATTTTTTACTTTCTTCCTTTTGTATAATTTTCTTTACATAGCTTTATCCCATCTAGTCCTTAAAAGGTGCATATACTTTTTATCTGTTTAAAGCACTTATAAAAATACCATAGCTGATTCATTCATTCTCCCCACTGCTACCACTAAATGTAACAAATGCATCGACAACCAGGACCTGAACTTCATTCATGCTGAGATATTAGTTAGAGGATATAACACATTTTTGTCATGAAGCCTTATGCCAGGTAGCAAAAAGTGGCACTTTCTAACATTTGGATATACTTCGAGAAGCCAAGACCAAATGCAAATATAAAGAGCTGACTTTTATAACTTAAAATACCTGCTACTTACTTCTTTTTGTATTGTAACACCACCTTTTGATCAACACATCTTTTATATATATGCTCCATTTAAGAAGAAACACAGTAAACATGGTTAGCTAGAAGAACAATGATTTTTCAAGATTCTATCTAAGCTGGCAAAGTATGTTTTTTTAAACATGCCCACTGGCAGAAAACAAAATGTGGAAGCAGTCGTCTTAGATGTGTCCCACCTACTCATCTTTCGAGTGCATCTCTGATGCCTTTGGTGACTACAACTCACACATAAAACTATCGCCAATTTGTTTCCCCTGAACACAGCTGAACCAGGGCAACTTTTACTCGTTATGCCTCCTATAGGTTGACACATCGGTCCCTCACTATACCATAAGCTCCTTAAAAGTATGGGCTGTTTCTGCCTTAGGCCTTGTATCTCTTGCTTAGCACCATGCTTCGAACATTGTGAGTGCTTTATAAATATTTTCTAAATATATCAGTGAATGGGTAGAAAATTAACATGCACCTATTTAAATCACATTATTAAAAATCAGTAAGATCTGCAGACCTGCCTTTTAAAGATATTAACTCATGGTAACTGGGATTTGATATGAGTATGGTAAATTTTAAATAGCATACTATAATTAAAAGAACAAGAAGTACTACAACCATACAATTAATGTCAACGTGTGAGGTCTGAGCACCTCAAGAAACAAGCTTGGTAGGAGGCTTTCGTATTACTAAATAGGTATTCGTGCGCCGTGAGGTGAAAATGAAGCTTAAAGAACATGGGAAGTATGTACTGACGGAAAGGAACAGGACGGATACTATGAGGGGCAATTGCATGTTGACGTCCACAAAAATACAGGTAACACAAGGCATGCCGCATGGATAAGATTTACAATGACTTTTTAAATGATATTTTTCAATTTCCCTATACCTCGACTCTGACCCACTTGTCACAGTTTAGCATTTTCCTCAGTGCTCACAGGCTCAGTTATCACCCAGATACCATAGGCTGGAGCGTACTCCAAACAAAGTCCATGAGAGTCACCTGTAATTTAGATGCGTTAACAGAAAGTTCTTCACGATTTCCTATTACAAAAACTTGAGGGATTACTAGCCCCTGATCTGTCCCGTGAGAACAACTGAAAACAAAACAGGTAAAAAGAAATCCACTTTGTAAAGTTATACTTGGGAACTCACAATTTTCCCCCAATTCTTATTTTCCATAAAGGCTATTCTGAGTCATTCCAGAACTCCACAATCAGAACAGCTCTTCACTGTTAACACTTCTACTTACACCAGGTTATATTTTTGTCTGTCTGACAACCTATTCTAAACAGTACAGCACGCAGCACATTTCTTAATAAAATTCTAAAAATAAAACGCCCTCCGTTTAAGTTCCTAATTTAATTTACTACTTCATATTGCCGAACATCCTTAAAATTAGAGTCAAAAGCCCTGTCTGCAGCTTTCATCCCATAAAAATGTGGAAACTGAGCTTCATCCTATAAAAACGCCACCTGCTGATGGAAGATAGAGTCCTCCTATAACCCTTACCCAGAATATATTTTTCATCCATCCCCCTGGTTCTAGCAATGAATTTCCTCAACGGCTCTCCTTTGCCGACTGCTCAAAGAACCTTTGGATCTGACCTACCTCTCTCTGTCTTACCTGCAGTTTTCAGAATGCACTGTGGTACTCCGGGTCGCCAAGGCTACCTTTACACTTCTTTCCCCCTTGGGGACCCTTTCCCCCTTCTCGCACATCTAACAGAACACCTCTAAAAATCCATTGCAAGCGCCACTCTTTCTTGGAAGCCATTCCAGACCCCACCGTTGCCCTTGGATCAACCCAGGCACAGGTTTTTAAGATTGTTCCCTAGAGACCAAACTCCGAGAGCAGGGGTAGAATCTTATTCATTTCGCATCTGCCGTTCATTACATATAGTCTGGGCCACAGGTGACCGTCAAAAAAATGCTTGAAGATTGAACACCAGAGCTAAAGCACCGCTTTAAAAGGACAAGGAGCAAGCTAACATCGGAGGCAGGACTTCCCTCATCTGTCCAGGTAACTCCCTCCTCTTCGAGAAACGACCACTTCTGGTGTTCTGTGGCCCACGAAGGAAATAGCTTCTCTCTTCTCCACTCCCTGGGTCTCTCAGGAGTGCAAGTGTGCTGGGCCACGGGTGACAGGGGTCCAGCCTACCGGGGTCCAGGGGCGAGCAACTTTCCAAAACAAGACCAATGGAGGGGGGTAAAGAAAAACGTCCTCGGGTCCAAAAGAGACGGTAAGAGACAAACGGGAAAAGGAAGAACGAAGAGTGGAAGAGTTCGAGGCCCTGGTGACCCGAGGCAAATAAAGGAAAGTGTTGGCGGGGCGCAAAGGGAAACACAGAGGGTCGCCAGGGCGGGACCGGAGGCCGGACCGGGGCCCGCCTGTTGCCCAAGGACGCCGGCGGCTGGAGAGACCGGCCGGGGATCTCTCGCCCCATTGCCGTGCGGCCTAAAGCCACGGCCTCGCATTCAAAGCCCCCCGGGGACCCGCTCCGGGCCGGGACGCCACTTACCGGGTCCGCCGGGCCGACTGCACCCATGGGCCGCGGCAGCGCACGAAGGCCAAGACGCCGCGGGAGGAACGGCCAGGTCCCCTCGGCGTCAGCCTGCGACCGCGCAGCCCACTACCGGCGCCAACCACTACGCGGAGGCCGCAGGGTCCGAGCCGCCGCGGAGTAAGAGAAAGCGTGCGGCTGGGAGAGAGAGGCTCACCGGCGCCTCAGTCGCCTGCCCGCGACGCCCCTTGCTGGCGGGAGGACCTCACTGTACCTCGCCTCCGCCAGCGTGTTTTTCTACCGCCAAGAGGTGTCGCAGTGGCGCAAGTTTGTGAAATTTCACACTGGGGAAAGTTCCCAGTGATCACAGATGGTGAGAAGGACAAATGGCCCAAAGCTGTAAAGATGGTCTTTGGCAGCCAACTATATACTGTCAAGTGTCTACTAATAGGAGAGAAGGAGAGAGCCCTTCGCTGTCATCTATTCAAAACCATTCATGTAAATGCACAACGCTGAACATTAATCACCATAGGCGAGATGAGTGCAAAAATGCTACAAAAGAAATGGCAACGAGCACGAAAGTAAAGGTATGACTAAGGAAACAATACATATGGAATAAGGTTACATAACAAGTTATAAGACCTCACAATATAAAAACAACATAACAAAAATTGGGGAGAAAAGAGAAAATCGGATTCTGTGTAAATATGATTTTCATATATATAATTTGAGGTAAAATATTTCAAACTGATAAATCAAATAGTAGGTATTTAAGTAAGTATGTATCTTAGGACAAAGGCACATAGAAAAAATACAGCCAACTAAAACCTGGCGATTAAGAAAAGGAGGAAAGAAAGAAATATAGTAAGGAGTCAACGGAGAATCTAAAATAATATGATTAAGGACATATTAATCATATGTGTTGTATGATTGGAAACATATAAAATAGAATGATTTTGAAAAGATATACCAGTAATATACAAACATAAAGAAATCAAGGATCACAAAATTCCTGTTATACAGGGTTGATTTTATGGCAGCTAACATAATTAGTATGCTAACCCAAAACAAAAATACAAACCTTTCAAATTATCAAAACACATACACACTACTATAACATATCAAATAAAATCATGTACCAAACTATTTGAAAAAAATCACAACACAGAAAGCATAACAAAACAATATGACAGAACTAAGATCAAACATCATAATAAATAAATGTGAATGAGCTAAATAAGCCTATTTAAAATACACAGTTTCAGACTGGATCCCGAACCATAAGACAACTCTGTGTTGTATACAAGGAAACATATAAAATAGAATGATTTTGAAAAGATATACCAGTAATATGCAAACATAAAGAAATCAAGGATCACAAGATTCCTGCTATATAGGGTTGATTTTATGGCAGCAAGCATCGAAGGAGATTAAGAAGGGCATTTCATAATCACCAGAGTTACAATTCACGGTGAAGAGGACATAAGAATACCTATGCACCAAAGAACATAATTTCATTGTCCATAGCAAAGATTATAGGAGACATAAAGAGAACATATAGATAGGAATAATTGATACAGTCCTTGCCAGATTAAGGACACAAGAGGTAAAGGAGGGCAGAGAAGACCTACAAATATAAGTAATATGATAGATCTGATACATCAAACTCCAAACCCTGACATGGAGATCACATCTACATTTCAAGTGTCCTCGGAACACTCACAACTATTTGCCATATTTTAGGCCACAGAGAAAATCTTAATATATTTATTCCAATTAGTAGAACCATATGGATAACATTTTATCATAATTTTTAAAAAACTAGAAATTAATGACAAAACAAAATAAAATATTACTACTCCTTAGAAGTTTTTAAACATTTAGCATAACATTTGGATAAAAAAAATAAACAAGATAGAGAAGTATGAAAATGAAAATGACATGCAAACCCATGTAATGGTGATAAAATAGTATTAAAACTTGTGGTTTTAAATGACTTAGTCAAAAAGATATAATAAACTAAATTAATTAAGCACCTATGTAAGATGTCAGGATTTGAACAAAACAAATTTTTTAAAAACAGAAGGATGTATTTAATAAATGTAAAATACTAAACTGATGATGGATACAACAGAAAACTATAGAATTAAAACAGTAAATACAAGGACTGATTGTTTGAAAAGAAGTAGGTGAGCTGCCTACTCAGGACAGGGAGAAAGCACAAATATACAACATATGAAATGAGGAAAATGAACCCAAGATGCAGAGGAAAGTACAACTATCTTAAGAAATGACTCAGTTTAGTTTTGACAAATAAATTAGAAAATGTGGATGAAATAAATAATTTTTAGGACAACATAATTTCTCCAAATGGATTTTAAAAGTTACAAAATTGAAACAGACCAACTGGCACAGGATAAATAGGGAAGAAGGGCAAAGAGCTACTCTCCAAAAATAGCGCCAAGCCCAGATGTTTCCACAGGGGCATTTACAAGCCTTCATGGCCAATGATTTCTGATGTCTTGTTTCAGAGCCTAGAGAGAGAAGGAAAGCTTCATATTCCTTGTGTGGATCTAGCTCAGGAGTGAAACCCAACAAATATAGACCAGAGAAAACCATCGGCCATTCTCACTTATGGCTCTCAGTCCAAAAATCCTGAATAAGATATTAGTACGGCATTGGGACAGAAATCCTCAGTCCTAGAACAGGTTGTTCCCAGACCTTCGGGAATCAGCCCCCACCTGCCCACCCCTTGTGAAGGGGAACATTCTGGCAGTAAGACTGCAGGCTTGGGACTGGAGTGCTCAGGCTAAGCTTTCAGGAAGACTTAAAATGTGACTAACGAAAAAGAAGGAGAGTCCTTCTGGAGAGAGATGGGTTCATTGAGCATTTAAGAAAATAATTTTACCGAGTGCCTCGGAGAGTTTCTGGCCCTGGGCCCGGGAAGCAAAGACAGCACATGTCTGCACTGGGTCTCCCACCCTCTGATCAAAGCACAGGTGGGTGGGCAGAAGCCCAGACTCTGTGACCCGGAGCCCTGGGGACGCTCCATGTGGAATCTGCTGTCTGCCAAGCCTCACTCAAGTGCTGGAGGTCTCCAGGTTGCAGGCTGTTTCCTACCACTGCTCTCCTGGCTGGAGTTTTGTGCATTCTTGAATCATTAAGTCACACACCGACAGACAACTTTTTAATTTACACACCACAGATACAGTCACCTCCATTGTTTGGGGGATTTATAGTTTCTCAAGAGGAAATGATGTTTTCCACTCATCTCTGAGTACATTAGAAACATCATTCTTACTGCCACTTTCTGTCCAAGGTAACTAATTACTTTTATTTTAGCAACTGAGGATCTGAAGCTTAATGAGATGGGGGGCCGTAACCCAGTCCATGCAGTTAGAAGGAAGGATGAACAAATTATGGAGATTCAGAGGAGGGACAAGACGTGAGGCACGGTAGACCAGTCCAGGTTGGAGAGCAAACATATCTAGCGATGCCCAGCGATACAAGATGTATGGCGTTCCTCCAGGAGTGCTCAGCAGCTGGGAGGGAGGAGGGCAGAAATACACGTCAAAAACTAGAAATTCCATTAGTCGAAAACTAGAAATTAGCATGGCAGGTGCTCTGGGAGGAAAGGAGATGAGGGAGGGGCTTAGGCTGGCAGGAAGTGGCTGGAAGGAAACTTCATAGCGTGCAGGACAGACGCTGGGGGAGGACCAGGAGGAGCAAAAATAAACAAATGTGTGGTGCACTAGAGGGAAAACATGTAAGACCAAAAATTCACAAGCAGACTAAACAGTCAATAATGACAGTGAAATTCAATTATTTTGGGTGATAATTGATATGAAAGACTCCATTTTTGTCTCCAAAATATGTAGCTATATACAGAGAAAGCATCTAAGGAATATTTGCCAGTATAGTTTTTCTCTGGGTAGGTGGGACTATAGCAGTTCTGCATTTATATTTTTGCTTATTTGTACTGTATTTTTCCCCAATAATTTTTAAATATATGTAGAATTTTCTGAAATCATTAAGAAATTTTAATTCACTTTCTATCCATTGATGTCTGTTCTCCTTGTTTGATGAGATTTTCTATAAATTTTGAATTGTTTTGATTGTTTGAAAACTAATATTTCAATGAAAAAATTACATTTTTAAAAACGTAATTGTTGTGCATGTATTTACTTTAATGTGGATATGGTTCAGATGCTGAGTTTGCATATGCACACACCTAAAATGGTCGATAAAGTTATAAAATGATTTTCTCACTTCCCAGTGACATTCCCGTTTTTCCAGCAGGGAGACTCAGACCTTGATCTGAGAGGTGACCTCGAGGAGTCTGTTATCTTTTCCATTGTGTAGCTTGGTGCCATCCCCAGAGCGTGTGGGCAGAGCAAGTTTTACTTCAGGACTTTGATGGTGAGTACAGCTTTGACTGACAACCTGAATGTGGTTCTCAAAGTGTCATTGGGTCATTAAAGCCAAATCAATGGCTTACATGGCAGGATCGGGAAATGACTTTACCTGTGATGAGTGGGTTTTGAGGGATTGGTAACCCTTCCAACTTACACTCTCTCCCTCCGTGGAGCAAAAGCATTGTAGAGACTAGTGGTGACAGTTGAGCACAGAGGTCCTACTGTCATAGAACAGCAGAGGAGAACTAGTGCTGACCCAGTGCTGGGGATTTTAACACAGATCATCCCATTGGCCCCTGAGTACCCAACAAGACAGGTGTTACTGTGAACACGAAAGTGGCACTCAGACAATTAGCACTAAAAACACTGCATACTAATATACTTCATAACCTGCCTTTAATTAAACAACTGATACTGTGTTTTCCATGCTAACATTTGACTCAGTGTATACTTTGGAAATCATTTCACAGTTTCACAGCTATGAATAGCTCTAGAGGCTATACTCAAGTGTTTAAAAATGTCAGTTTGGAAGAAATGTGGTTTTGGTTTTCTTCTGATCCTAAAACCAACACATACACTTATGAAAAAACATTAGAGTATATAACTCAGCATAACAGATTAAATTAAAAGAATCTGTAACCACTCCTTCTGAGAATTAAGTCCTGTTAGAGCGCTGGTGCCCACTCTTCCAGGTCCTTTGCTGCGCGTGTACACAGGAGGGTGACCAGCCCTCCCGATTTGCCAACAGAGCAGTTTCCTGGGATGCTGGGCAAACTGGGAGAGCTGGTT